TTCACTCAACCTGTCGGGTTTCTGGACTATTTTGTTAAATAAACTGGACTTGTGACTCTGTGTCATTCTCTTTTTAAGGCTTGTTTTTGTCCTGTTTTGTCATCCTCCAGTACGACTCATTCTTATCAGGATAGTTTTTTATATTTCTATTTATTTTTATTTTAGTTAATGAAAATTCTGTCATCTTTTACTCACCCTCATGTTGTTTTAAACCTGTTTGAGTTTCTTTGTTTTGTTGAACCCAAAAGAAGATTATTTTGAAGAATGTTGGTTTCTGTTTCCCATTGACTTGCATAGTTATTATTTTTTCCTACTATACACAAGCTTTTAACAACTTGAGGATGAGTAAATTACAGAACTTTAATTTTTGGGTGAACTATCCCTTTAAATAAATTAAATGACTCACAGTTCAGTGAGAAGTAAATGCCACGATTCAGTGAGTGTTGATTGAGTCTGATTCAAATAACTCATCAGTTCGAGTCTGGTTTGTGAATCTACTTATTTAAAAGAACCGATTCATAAGAGTCAGTTGTTCGCGATTCCGCAACGTCGCATTATATCTGACGCCTGAAGAGTTTTCCGGACTACATTATTTCAGGATGATAGTGGTGAGTATTTAATAACATAATTTAACTCGAATCGAATTTACTGCATGCTTCAGGTTTTTAAGGCATTACCAAACCTAATGAATACCAGCATGTGAGAAAGTGTCAAAAGGGCTCACGTGGCTCAGGAAGAGAGTTCGTTTTAAAATTGCAGCGCTAAAAGATGAGCTTAGCGTGATTTGATTCACTTATATGCTGGTTTAAAACGTGAAAGCCAACATTCACTTCAGGCTTATAAATGGAGATTGATTTGTGCTTTCTCCGGCCGGGTTTGTTTGAAGTGAGCTTCGGAGCTGAGTCAGAGTTACAGGTTAGGAAATGAGCTGAGGTGGAGTGTTGTCGTAAGATTAAAGACAGGAAAGAAAGGAGAGGACTAACACATTTAACAACATGTGTAAGTCTTGCCTTATTTAAACCCTGAATCATTAAATTTGCCAAAAAACAAAACATGCGTGCATTTAGTGTGTATGTGAAAGAAAATCTATGTGAGGATTGAATTTTTGAACCTCTGTAAAAAACAAAACAAAAAAAACTTTACTTTAAAAAAAAAATGGTTTGATTAACTTAAAACGTAAGAAACCTGGTTGTCTTAAAATTTTGAGTTCATTGGAATTAAAAAATTGTGTTAATTTAATGGAGATTGGTTAATCAACATAAACTCAAATTTTTGAGTTCATTGAAATAAAAAAATTGAGTTAATTTAATGGAGGTTGGTTAATCAACATAAACTCAAATAGATATTTTTTTTAATTGACTTTTTTATTCAATGCCATGAAAACAAGAGGTATTACATATTCACATTACATTAGCTGCCAGAAAATGAAAGAAAAAAAAATTACACACAATTCAGTGCTTTCTAAGCATTACATTTTCAACGCTTTTTTGTTTTTTGTTTGTTCCAAAGGATTTACATATAATTTTAAGTCATTTTAAAATGTGAAAAATTTGGTTTGCATTGAGCACACTTCTTTTTATATGGTATTTTCCTAACATAATAGCTGTATAATAGTTGTTCTTTACATTACAAATTGTCATTCTATGTAAAAAGTCATACACTTAAATCATCCACTTCAGTTTTCTACTAATATAGGTTTCTAAGTCTTTCCAAAATAATCTTGACTAAATAAAGTGAAAAAACAGATCTAAAATAGTTTCTTTTTCTTGTGTACAAAATTCACAGGTATGTGAAATATTAAGCTTAAATCTTTCCAAAACATGCTTAGCAGGATAAATCCTGTGAAGTATTTTGTAAGACACTTCCTGGCTTAAATAGATATATGTTTTGAATTAATTATGGGAGTGACGGCAAGATATTATTGAGAATAATACAAGTTCATTTAAGTCTTAATAAAACTGTATGGGTGTGTGTGACCCTGTAACCTCAATCAGTTCAATGATCCCTCATTGCTAAGTCCACACCCATGTCTCTGAATAAGAGCCAGCTCTGTCCAGCTCCACTGCCTCCAATATGGGGAATCTATTCCTGTTCCACCTCAGCAAGAACCACATGGATCCATTTCAACTCCGTCCAAGGACTCCCCGAACGTTAGTCTGACCTTAAAGTTTCCATATAACATGCCAATGACACAGACAGACTTTACTAACAACAGCAATTATTGTGTTTTTTTGTTTGTATATTATAATTGTAGGCAGCCATTGTCTGGGTGGAAAGTTTGACTTGTGACTTGTGCTGTTAAATGTGTTTAAAGACACCAGTGCTTTCTAACAAGATCAACTAAACTATGAAGAACTATTTGTGTTCAGCACTTTCAAGTATAATATTTCTTTAAATTCAACTCTCAAATTCTTGAATGTAATCAAATATTAGTATCTAAACACAACTGTCCTCACTTTAAAAAGTGATCGGTTGACTTATCTCAACAAAGTGAGGAAACCCGTTGCCTTAAAATTATTAAGCAAATAAACTTCATGCATAATTGAAAGAATTAAATTATGTGAACTTGACAATTACACACAACTTAATTTTTTCAATTACGTTTATTAACTTAATAATTTTAAGGCAACGGGTTTCCTCACTTTTTTAAGTTAATTCAACTGATGAGTTTTTACACTGCTTATGTTTAAAACTTTTGCATGTACAAAATTAAACTAATAAAGGCACAAATTACATTTTCAGATCTGTGAGGTCATCGATGCAATGACATATATAGGGTAAGTTCTGATTGAACTGTCATTTGATACAACATCATTTTTAAATGTTGCAGGTATTTCTAAATGATCACATACATTGTGAGAGAAAATTGATATTTTTAGTTTTGTTCAAGTTGTTTAAAACAAGTGTTTTAATAAAAGTAAAAAAAGTGGTCGGATATTATAAAATGTCCCATCATACATATAATATTTGTAATTTTAACAACAGTTTTCACTAGTAAGTTGATGATTTCTATCATTGTAGAAAATGTAATGCACAGCCTGTTAACATCTCTCTGTTAGACATGTTAACAGCCTATAAATGTCTTTTTGAACTGGCAGCACTTCATCTTTCAACAACTTGAAGAATCTGACCACTTTTATTCACATTAATTGTATGTTGACAGCTGCCAGAACTTGCTGTCGTTCATCATTTTCTATTTTATCAGTATCTCCTTCAGAGAGACAAGCGAAAACGACTTTTACTTTGACTGTAAGACTACAATTCTTTTGGGAAGGAAATTAATCGGCATATAATTAGACTGATATCTGAAGGATCATGTGACACTGAAGACTGAAAATTCAGCTTTGACATCACAGGAATACATATTTTAAATAAATATTGAACATTTTAAATTGTAATAATAGTTCACAATATTAGTTTTTACTGCATTTTTTATCAAATTAATGCAGCCTTGGTGAGCATAAGAGACTTCTTTCAACAACATTAAAAAAATCATTGCGACCCCAAACGAACAGTAGTGTATATAAATATAATTTATAGCTGTTCAATCATGACGTCAGACCAGGCTGATTCAGCATGGGTTCCAGTATCTATATCTATCCTAATGATTTAAAAGAAATATAAGTGCATGTGCATAAGGTTTTGACTAACTGTCTTTCTGTCTATCCAAACACTTAGCATGGAAACTATGCAAAGATTTATGCACGCAGCCCCTGGTCTCGGTTTCATCATGAGTGTTGAGAGTGATGAAAGTCTGAGCACTTAAAGTCCATGTGTAACAGGAGCACTCTGGTTTAATTTAGCTATGGCAGTCTTGCAAACAGGTCCTGCACGTCTTCATTTGAGACGCCACACATACCGCTGACAGCAGCACTCAGCATCTCTAACAAACAACCCAGTGACACTTCACAGTCTCTAAAAAATATTTATTATTATTAATATATTTTATATGTAAAAGACACATCGCACCCTGCTTTTAGAGAGAGAGCCACATTCACTCAAATACTCATTCAGTTCCACAAACGCACATGTATTGTACACAAAAATAGATCTGATGTGCATGTCAAGTTGCCCACAGATACCTACAGTCGGAAAAAAGACATGCTCCCTGTCAAGACTTATTACTTTTCTTATAGGGGTACATGGAGAAACCGTCTTGTCAAAATTAAAAAGGATAGTTCACCCAAAAAAAGAAAATCCAAACCTGAATGGATTTCTTTCATCTGTGGAACACAAGATTTTCTAAAGAACTGTTTTTGTCCATACAATGAAAGTCAATGGGGTCCAAAACTACCTCAAAATTTCATCAGTTATTTTAGCATTATTTTTATACAATTAAAAGTATTTATTCATATTTTGAATTAGTTTTAATTTTCAGTTTTCATGTTGAGGTTTAAGCAATTTTCTTGTGCTTTTATTTAACAGTTTTAAAAAAAACATTTCTATTAAGTTTTCATACATTTTTATTTGTTTGTTTTTTTCATTTAATATTTATATTTTAATTTATTTCAGATTATTTCAATTATAATTTTTTTTTTAATTAACTATAACAACTCTGACTTTCATTGTATGGACAAAAAACAGAAAAAAAATACATTTTCAACATATCTTCTTTTGTGTTCTGCAGAAAAGTCATGCGTTTTTTGAGTCAACTATTGTTTTAACTTTCAACTTAAAGCCAGATAACTTAGACTGGTGATTTTTCAATCGGGCAGCGTTTCATTTCATTGTGATTTTTCTGCCAGTTTGAGATCTAATGGGCAGACGTTCAGAATGATCTAAGTTCAGACGGGTGATGGCCTTCTGCTGAAGGAGTCTGGGACTTTTCTTTCCACGCTAAACTGCTGCCATTGAGCGTGCTGAAAGAGACCCACTTCAAATGAAATGCCCTGGAACCCTTTTGGTGCTCCTCGAGTGTACCTTATGCTAAAAAGAGGGGAGGAAAAGTGGCACACATACACAGTCCTTTCACAAGGCAGAGACTTAGTGAAGGGGAACAGTTGGCAGACAGTTTTTACTGCGTAATTGACCTTCGCACATTGCTTTCCAAACACAGGCCTATATTTTTGTATATTTTCTATTCTGTTCCTTGGCAATGTGAAAACGCAAACTTTGGTTCTTCAGAATGTGAGTGTGTATATGTGAAAATGTAAGTGAGTGTGTCTGTGCTGCAGTGGGTGGAGCGTCACAGTCTGTGTCCTGTGTTCACTTCATTAGATTTTAAGCATCCAATAGGGAGCCAGGACTGTTTTTCACATTACAGCACCTGTGATTTCCATTACACACAACATATAGTGCACTACACACACACATATTCACATACTGCATCCCATAAACCAACACACCTATACAGTCACGTACAGAGTATACAAGCACGGTTATACAACACAAATATACATCGCATATGTACACACACACACGCTTCATTTACAACAGCACCGTTAGTAACTTAAGGCACGTTACACACACTTCCAGCTCTTTTTATTAAGCACTGTGTCCTTTATATCACAGAACCAGTTTGAGAGTCTCGACGCAAGTGTGTATTCATGCCAACGAACCGGCATTTTGTGCTCTGAATTGATTCATTGTGTTCTTCTTGTGACTTCAATTCAAATTTATTTCCTACGATAGTCCCATTGGCATTCACATGGTAATTGGAGGGTATTTCTGATCCCCGGACACACTGGCCACACTAGCCACGCTGGTTGGCGGAGGGTACGGAGACTGCAATGGGCGGTATCCCGCTTGAGTGGGGTCTAGGTAAGCTGGACCCGGAGAAACGGGGTGGGCGAAACCGATGTACTGAGGATGCAGGAACTGGCCTTGGTGAGGAAGAATTTGAGTGGCCTGCTGGCAGTTTAGCACTGAGAAGTTGGTGGGCATGTTCACGTACACGCTGGCGTCTGGCGGCAGGCAGCACGAGGCCTGGGCGCGTAGCATGGGGACGGGTGCAGGACGGGGAGCGGCGGGAGGCGCCGAAGAGCTGGAGGAGGTGGCCGTGCTCGATTGACGGGAGGACGAGCCTCGCGACGTACCCGTGCTGGCCATCATGGGAATCGTCTCGAGGACACGGGCGCTGCTGGACCCTCCTCCTGAGCCGCCACCTGACGTAAGCTCCTGTTTGGGACGTAGACAGCGGCAACAGCACACGGCAACAACGGAGCCCACCAGCACGAATGCCACGAAGACCGAGCCAACGATCAGGAAGGGCACGTAGATGGGTACTGTAAAGCAGAAGCAAGAAAATGATGACAAACTCATTAGAGAAAAAAATATATATTTATATATATCTTACATAACATTTAAGGTTGAATCACTGTAGTCACATGGACTATTTTAACGATGTCTTTACTACCTTTCTGGGCCTTGAAAGTTGCAATGACGTTGTTGTCTATGGCTGGTTCAGAAAGCTCTCGGATTTCATCAAAAATATCTTTATCTGAGTTCCGAAGATGTACCAAGGTCTTATGGGTTTGGAATGACATGAGGGTGAGTGATTAATGACAGATTTTTCTTTTTTTTGGTGAACTAACCCTTTAAGTAGCTTTTAGAAACGTGCCTTAGAAAAAACATGATGTTTTATTAACAAAGTTCGTGAGGAGCACGTTCCGATAATTAACACGGGTGGAGAGCACTCAGCAATCAATGATAAGAGGTGTATATAGATTCAACAGTCTCACCTCAAACCATTGACAGTTTAGCAGCATCCCTCCACCACCCCTTCTCCACTCTTCTAATCCTAACCATTTACATACGGGGGCGAGTACTCTGGGTTCAGGCCGAACTCCGAGCTCGGAGCCCTCCCCCCGGACAGCACGCCAAATACGCATTAATCTTTACTCCCTCTAATTGTATGTAAGTGTGAACTCGTGAAATTACTATTGTGTATCTTGAAACAAAATAATGGCACTGACATCTTTTAACCCTTTGATGCACAACATGGGTCTAAATAGACCCGACTGAGTTTTCATTTTCTATATCTTTGCAAGAAATTAATTTCATCCAGGTATTCCTCAATTAACTCGTTTTAGATCATTACAAATCCTTATTTAAATTTTTCCTTTCTTACTTTTCGAATAAAAATCGTTTTTGTTTCACTACCTTTCTAATGCGCAACATGGGTCTAAAAAGACCCGTATTCATGTTTCTTTGCTGAATATTTGAAAGAAATGTATTTTATCATTTATTAATCCAGGTTTTCATTAAATATCTTGTTTTTGATTTCCACAAATCATTATTTTTATTTTTCCTTTCTTACTTTATAAACAAACACAGTTTTTGTATTTCTACATCAATTTAACACACATGGGTAAAAAATGACCCATATAGGAACCTTTGATATTTATAAATAGTATAAATATATTTACTGCAGAAAACTATTCACCTGCCACACATTTCACAATTCAACACGGCTGCTTTTGTATATTTCATGCATGTAAGTTTTATTTAATAAAATTTTTGTCACAGAAAATATTTGATATTTTGTGAAAGACATCTAGATATAGCCTAAAATTTGAACGTTTAGGCTAAGGTTACCTTGACCTTGAAATCCATTACTAGTGCAAAAGAGAAACATGTCCAATACTATTAGCTAGCTTGCGGTCGACATATTTTATTTTATCTAATGTTAGCTAGGTCAACAAAATAAAAGTTGCAATAGAAAGTTATATATACAAGTATATATTGGTGCTGTAGGGCAGAAACCTTACCTGGGCAGTACCTCCATATTAATTTTTATAAATGGTCATAAATCAATGCTATCGGTCACATAAGCCGTCGTGTGGTGCACTATGGCTGCTGCCGCATCATCCGGGTGGATGCTGCTCATTGGTGGTGGGGAGATCATTGGTGGCGGGGAGATCCCCCTACAGTTGCACTACACTACAGTTAAATTTCAGTGTTATCGGTTATATGTGTGTTATGCGTGACAAAGTGGCCAATAAACATATTTCAAGTGTTACAATAAATGTGTTGATCTAAACAACTGTGACAATGGTTATTTTAACAAAAAGTTTTCTTTATTCTTTTGTTTTATCACGCTTGCATAGATGAGTCATTTTAGACCCATGTGTGTAAACTTGATGTATTTACACAAAACCTAGGAAATATTAAAATATGAATTTGTGATAATTGAAAACAAGATATTTTGAATATTCATAAATCATGAAATTTATAGATCATGAAATATAAAATGCTCAAATAAAGTGATTTCAAAAGGTGAAACAAGAAAATGCAGAGCCATGCATGAAATAACATAGGAAATGAATACGGGTCTTTTTAGACCCATGTTGTGCATTAGAGAGGGTATCCAATATCCATAGCTTGCGCATCAAAGGGTTAAGATATGTCAGTTGCGTTCAGTTAAAACATTTCAAACATGCATTTTAGCCTGGGACTAGCTTAAATCTTGTTTGTGGAACCGGGGGTAAGTCACATACTGTAGTTTCGTGACACCTGAATCGGTGAGTTTAAAGTACACCTCACAATAACGGTTCATTTAAAAAATGACTCACGGTTCTGTGAGGGACTCCGCTAAATAGAGAGCTAGACGTCATTTGGCTCTGCACTGAGTACCACTTGGGATTTTTTAAAACATAACCTGTTCATAAGAGACATTTGTTCGTAAATCGAACATCATGGCTCATGCATATTCATCGCAGTGTAAAGGAAATAGATGATATCAGATAAAACCATGTATACTCGCACACAAAGCTTGCATAGATTTTAAATTATTGTCGCTGTTTTTATTTTTATCGCATTTGCAATCAGTAGTCGCATTCTGGAGTGACTAGGTGGATGTTTTTTACTGATCCAAGCAAAAAGAACCAACCCAAATATGGCTCGGCTCCCTGCCTTAGTGTTATTCTTTGGGAATTTGTTTGCCCTTTTTTACCATCCATCAGTCAAAAATCTGAAAGAAAACAAGCTGCCCAAGATTTGAAGTACCGTTCATAAAGTTTTTTAAAAATGTGTGCTTGTAATACAACCTTTTATAATGTATTTAGGTCATCCAGCTGTATTCACTGCTACTGATACTAGAAAATGTAATGTTATAGTATCAGGCTTCCCAAATTACAAAAATAGAGAAAAGTGCTGGATGGTAGCACACTGGAGGACTTTGGGGAGTTTTGTTTGTGCATAGCCCTTGAGCAATGTTTTTCCTTCACTTTAGACCCATATCCGTTTTGAATTCCACTATGCATCCAAAGCAATTGTCCTTCCACAGCCATAAGGAAGACTAGGATATCAGTAGTGTGATTGAGCTCCATGTAACTTTTACACCTTTAAAAATAACAATAAGCAAGTTTGAAGCCTAAAGCATTGCTGAAACTTGTTGATGTGTCACAATATTCCACACACGTGTATCTTTAAATCACAGAACAGAGCGCTCACATGTTTCCACCCCGCTCACAGATGGGTAACCTGCTGGCCCATGTGAGATTTGGAGAGAGAAGCAAGAATGAAAGACGAGATGTTGCACCAGTGACTTGTCCCCAGGGGTCCGGGGCCCCTCATTAACACTTATTAAGACAGTTTTGATCTGCTCTAATCTCCTGCAACCAGCGGTGACCTCTCTGCCTGACCATGTGCATGCTGTTTCCAACAGGTACCTCTGCTTTATAGCGTAATTAGACATCTGATGTCCTGGGGGAAGCTTTCGGCATTTGTTTTGTTGCATCTGCTCCCTCTGAAATTTAGTTGAATCGAATCATATATAATAGCCATGCAAACTGGCTTTTGATTTTATTAAAGGAGCAAATCAGACTCCACTTCAACCATAACTTAAAAAAACAGCCATTGTTTAACAATTTATTAGGCTACTACATTATTAAATCAAACATGATTGCTGAGCAAAAAATGACAGGGGAGTCATTTTTACAGGAGCTCTTTTGTGCTTTGGTAGTTATTACTATAACAGTGGAATTTTTCAGTAAATGACCTGAATTTTGGCAAGCTTTGAGTTTGCGTGCATGTTTTGAAAATCACTGCTTTTTTGGCAGTTGAAACACGAACACCCCCCTTTTTTAACTCACTATTCACAGTTACACACAAATGTGTGTGGAAAAACAATAGAGAATCTGTTACTACATGTTATTTCCATAGATTTATTTTGTTCCTGAGTGACATTGCTTTTTCCTGTTATAATCCAAATGTGTTAATGGTAACAAAAGGTGTCTAATGAGATGGACGGCGACACAGTCAAGCCAGGACTTTTTCAATAGTTTTGTTAAAGCATGTAAAATATGTTTTTTTATATTATTCTTTGTATCATTTAGATAAGCACATCCATTCAAAGTAACATTGAATCAAAAAGAGAAAGATAAAACTATGTATGATCGTTGAAGTCAAATCAAGAATGTTATTAGTGGATCCAGCCAATGTATCAGTGAAGTTCACATACAGGACAACAGCAAGGGCCCCTCATGTCCTTAAAAGGTTTGGGCCCCCTTAACTTGAATTCACACCTGTTGCATTATTGTCCAAATGGAGCCAGGCCTTCAACTGCCAGACAGGCTCTGTCAAACTTCATAGCAGACCACCATTTCCTCTTGCTTTTCAGATATGCATCATTAGAAGTGTCTAAAAACCCTATGTTTCTAATGTAAAGTCTTTATTTCACTGCTGTTTTTGTCTGTTGGGTTTGTCAATTTAGGCCTATGTATTATCTTTGAACCGTTTTCTCAGGACAAAGATAATGTTACAAGAACTCAGCGCAAGCTGTCATGTGTTTCGTTTAAAATAGGGCTGTCAAATGATTAATCGTGATTAATCACATCCAAAATAAAAGTTTTTTTTTTACATAATATATGTGGGTGCACTGTGTATAATTATTTTATATATATAAATACACACACATGCTTGTATATATTTAAGAAATATTTTCATGTATATACTGTATATAGATTTATATATAATTTATATTATATATAAATATAAATATTTTCTATATAAATAATATTTTTTTCTTAAATATACATGCATGTGTGTGTATTTATATATATATATATACAAAATAATTATACACAGTGCACCCACATATATTATGTAAAAAAAAACTTTTATTTTGGATGTGATTAATCGTGATTAATCATTTGACAGCCCTAGTTTAAAATGTTATAAATTCTAACAATTTATTAGTTAACATATTTGTTAGCCAAAACAACGTTTTGGTATTTTTGTACATTTTAATGTTTTTGTTGTTTTATTATTGTTTTACTGTTTTAATTCATCTGAAAAATCTATAATGTCCAATAGTTTGTGCATTAATTGCAGGTTTCATCATTGTGACAATTTGCCCATAATGTGACAAAACGCCTTGTTATTTTTGTTCAATAAACTGTTACATTTTTAGGGTCAGTCACGATGGAATTATCCGAACCTATATAAAAATGCAGCTACTCTTAAGAAATATTCACTGGACTAAATAGCGTGACAACTAGCCCCGGTGTCCCCAATGAGTGTGCACTTATTTTTAGTTCAGCTGAGGGGAAATTCGGGGACCCCATTTTAATTCAAAGTTTTTGAGCTTGCACAAAAGGCAGAGGAAATTATGCACTGGCTTGGCTTTTTGAACGAACGAGGCTGTCAGCACATCACACTAGGGATCCGGTCAAGTCTGAACTTGATCCTCGTGGGGAACCGGACGACTGGAGATCGCGCGCGCGTTACTGTGCTAACTCAAGTTAGGCCTATTTATAACTTCGCGCAGTACAATTTACCATTTGTGAGTGAGTGGACGGTTAGGTGCCAATTTGGATGCCAATTTAACTGCAGCTGTCAAAACCTGGATAGCAATACAATGGCATTTAACCCTTACATTTAGGGGCGAGAATCGTTAACGATTCTGGTTCCGATTCCTTTTTCACCCACTTCTGGATAATGATTGTTTCAGTATTTTAAGGAAGAACATTTTTTGCATTTACAGTCCTCAACAACAGTATATTACTGAATGATATAATTTCAGATTTCAACAAAACAGCTATAAATTATTAGAAAGAAATAAAACAATTTCTAAATAATCCAGTATTTGGTATGCCACCAATATAAAATAAAAAAAGCTAACTGGTTAATTCATGCATTAATTTATTTACACGAATTTAATTTATTTACTTATTTTTTATATATAATGCTACTTATTGCACACAAAAAACTCATAATGTGCATCTTTAACTACACCCACACGGTAACGTTACACGGTTAATTTCGAGTCGGAAATGACGAGTCCGATTAATTCAGCAACGGCTCCAACTGATTCAAAAGCGATTCACTAAATGGCTTGTTCATAAGAATCATTCGCTCGGGAATAATGGCCTCGTACTAAGAAGCGCTTCGTTTCCAACCCCAGTCCTGCTTAGATGGATTGCTGGAGATAAACAGCCAAACAACAGTAACCTTAAGTGTTTTTAACCTCATTTGAACACGAAACTCAACCCAAATAACTTTCTCATAGTGGAGCTTTTACTCACAAAACGCCCGAGGAACACAACGAGTGGGTCGATATACGTTACACACTGCTGCTGCTCTGAAAGCTATTGAATTAAACCATTTAAACTTAGCTGGAGTACAATTCGATTATACACAGTAATTGCCTAATTTGTTGCAGACAGAGGAAGTTACTCTACCAGAAAACAATGCAGATGTCGTCTCAGCTTACCTGCACCAGAGTTTTTGTCGTCCTTGTTCCCAGTGTTGGAGTCTTGTGCCTGTTTATCATTATCACACGAGCCCTGGTCCAGCCGAGCTTCAGTGCTGGAGCAACAGTACCTGAGCTCGCACTTCCCGCAGCAGATGATGGCCTCGGCGCTGTCGAAGCGCTCCGGGCACTGAAAGCCGTCTCGCCACGCGCCCTGAGAGTCGTGCCAGCCGTGACAGTACTCTCCACTCGCCTTCACGTTAATGATGGTCAAAAGTGTCAATACCACCGTGACGGCCATCGGGAATTCCGTGCATCCCCGCATCCTGTCACAAACCCGTGCAACGAAAACACTTCAGGTTTTGGTCAGGACCAGTTAAGTTAATGACTCGGCAAATAAAACTAATAAAAGGAGGAGACGCTGCGAAAAGGAACCCAACTAACAACTTTGGAAATGTCATTGGGCAGAGAAATTCCGAGGTTAATTCAATAGATCCAGCAGAATTGCTCCAGACAAGTATCCACTGTTTCCGTCACAAGACTTCCAGTAGCTTTGTTTCAAATTGAATGTAGAGACGACACATATGAAAACGCATAACAGCCATAACCGATGGGGTTTTGTGCACATAAACCATAAATTCAGAATATCCCATATTCCTGTGAGAAACCTCCAGGACTTCAGACAAACTTTGCATCAATCCCGCTCTGAACGGATCTTCATGTCGCCACTTCTCAAATGTCTTCCCCTGAGAGACGGAGTAACCAGCACTGACTTCACTTGTAATCCATACGCTCGATTCTTCAATGTGTTCTCACGAAATCTTTTTTTCTTCCCAGTCAAGGAAGTTTTTCCATATTAATCCATATCATGCTGTTTTCAGTTAAGTTTGGGGAGGTCCAGCTCAATAATATTTAAGAGAGCACTCAACTGCTTGTAGTCAGCTGTCAATATCTCAAGCAGGAGAGCAGTGCATAGTGAGGGATTGATAGACTGAGAGTGACCCACTGACAACTCTCCTTCATCCAGACCAGAGGGTAGATGCTGCTACCCGTCAACCGGCGCATGCGCAGTGCCGTGCCTTAGATTAGAACTCTGACTTTTTGATTCTCCGCCAGTTGCACAGTGCAAACAAGTGTCATTGTATGTTGGCGGGGGCCCCTGGGCGTTTCAGGAGCGGCTTCTGTGCGATGGGTGTTTAGCAATGCCCGTGGGGATCTGCCTAAGCACAAAAGAGACGGAAACGCCGTATTGTAATGCATTTAGCTCGCCAGTGGCTCACATCCATTAGAGCCCGCATAAAAGGCCACTATCAACAGCAGACAGACAACAACAAAAAACAAAACAAAAACTACTAAATTAATACATATAAAATAAATAATGTACAATGAACAACATGTTGCATTTAAACCGACATAATAAAAAAAGGTATGCTATACAGCAAATGGACAGGAAAAATAAATAAAATAAAATAAAAAGATATTTATTAATATATTGACAAATAATACTAAGATAAATTATGTACAATAGTGTAATGCAATCTTTTATATCATAAATAAAGAGAAATAAGGATGCCACTTTAATATTAATATCATATTAATTTAGCCTAATACATGCTCTTTACATTTGAACAAAGCGGGATAGTTCACCCAAATATGAAAATTCTCTCATCATTTACTCACGCTCAAGTTGTTCCAAATCTGTATGAATTTCTTTTTTCTGCTGAACACAATAGGATATATTTTGAAGAATATGTAACCAAACAGTTGATGAGAGCCACTGACTTCCAGTATGGGGGAAAACCACTGATCTATTTAGAATGACATTATATAGATCAGTGGGGAAAACACTACTGGAGTCCATCAACTGTTTGGTTATCGACATTCTTCACAATACATTCATTTGTGTTCAACAGAAGAAAGGAATCCATACAGGTTTGGAACAACATGAGGGCGAGTGAATGATGACAGAATTTTCAGTGTTGTAAAATGCTGAAAAACAGAAATGGTTCGGAGTATTCTCAGTGCTATATTACATTTATTTTAGTTTCTATTTAAACACAAGAAGACCTTGTTCTTCGAGACTTCTCAAGTGGCAAGGCTTGCAGATTGCAGAGCTAAATAAAATGAAATTTGAAACAATGGAAATTTTAAGGCGACAGCGCCCTCTGGTGGACAAATATTTTTCAGGAAGTATTTCAAAAAGTATTTCAGGAAAGTAATAAAAAGATTAAAACGTATCAAACAAAGACAACATTTAGCCTATCTTTATTTAGCTTCTTATGATTTTCCTTACCTTTTTTTCTTTTTTAGAAATATTCTAGTCTTTGAGAAACATGTTATTTTATAGCCACAGAGCACGGGGACTTTTATTTTAAACTGTGTTGTAGCGGTGCTTTTAAATTTGTCGCGATCAACGCTTCCTCAATCCTGTTACTACAACACCAACGAAAACAAACGGTAAAATCTTTGTCCGTTAATTTTTTGTCAGTTTCAGGTAAAATAAGTTTATATTTTGTCAGTACCAAGCCAACTTGTGTCGGTCATTCATTATGACCGACACTATGCACGATTAGCTAGCAGTTAGCCAGGATGTGTTTGAATGTTTAGCATGTAACTTATGTACCAAATAATGAATAGATAAGCTTCATAATTCGTAAAGATACGGGTTTTTTAAATAATAACAATAATTTCCATAACGCTCACTGTTCTGCAAATACAGAAAACTATTCCTGTTTAAGTGCAGACTTTATCATTAGGTTAACACGGCAATAATATGTTTTGTTTCCATAGGTGTCTGTTACTGTGAGATGTCTTTAGTGCGAATGAACCGTCCTTTATATGGTGTGGGTAAAAGACCAGTGCGAACCAAGAAGGTGTCTGCACCAAAGAAAGAATGGGTGGTGAGAAACCTTCATGCAACCAATTACACGTTTAAACCCTTCTTCTTCTTCTTTTGGAAGTGGTGCCTTATTATTTCTCTCTTTTTCTTTTAGGGCACAGTCAATGATCTTTCTTTGCATAAAGCCACACCAGAGGAACTGGTAAGTTTACTGTTAAAGCGTGTAAGTTTATTCTTATGCATTTATTAATGTGTCTTTCTCCTTACATTGATCTCCTCTCAGGCCCGACGTCATGAGATGCACAGATCTCAGAATAAAGTCGTGGCACAATGGGAATTAAGAGAAAAAGCTCTCACACGTAGACGGAGGAAAAACCATCCCTCCAGCCCTCCAGGACTTGATAGAGCCCGACTCAACATCATCAGAGAGGTGTGTATGCATCACTGACTGCTCGCAGAATTAAGCTTTGTAATAATAATACAGCTGGAAAGAAATTGAACATGTTTTAGCCCTATACACTGTATCATGTTTGATATGCAGATTTCCATTAGCCCTCTAAGTTATCAACATGATGGAAACATGACTGAAAAGCGTCACGTACACACTCTACTACATGCCTTCTGTAGTCTTATTGACAGATTTTTGTTGTTGTTTTTTTTAGAAACTAAAAAGGTCTTTTTTATTATAATTGTAAAAGCGTCCACCTTCAGGTTGTTGTACATGTGTCTTTTTGATGGGAAATCTTTAGTGATTTTTATAAACTAAATGTAAGGATAACTTCTTGCCTATGTTGTTCGTAATATTTCAAGATGAACACTTAATGGACTGAAGCAACTTCGGGTTACTTAATTCCATACATCTCTTTTTTTGTTGTTGAAAAAAATCATGCTAAAGCATGAGTATCAAATATTATACATTAGGCTTTTGATGAATGTTTATTTCTACTCTCAGTTTATTGTATTAATCTCTCAATCACCGTTGCATTACATCATTTGTTTTGACCCCACAATACAAAATACAGAGCTTTGATCATAAAACAAATAATTTAATTATTATAACTTAAGACATATGATTGGGAGATATGGAGTGACAACTGGTATTTATATTATGCAGTTTATGTAAGTAGTCTACTGTTATATAAATCTTGCTATATAAACCTATTTACATTACAAAATAAAATTTGACTTTTTGCCCATATAAATATCAACAACTGCACCAAATTTCTTATTTTTTTCTCAGTTTGGCCTCTGAATAAAATGCGTTTTTTTGTACTCTAGTATGAATTCCACATTCTCCTGTAATGTATCATACTATAGTCATAACATCAGCCATAAAAGCCTGATGTATCAGATATGATATCCAACAAAAACACACATGCAAACTTTATTTACAAGGTTCAGTAAACTTTTCCATATTAAAAAAAAAATCAGATTTTTCTGACCATTTTTTCATGTCAGGGTTAAAACAAGCTTATACTAACATTTTGTTTCCACCATTTTACATATCAAATCACAAAAAGATTATGAAAATCTTATTTGTTTAGGTGTTTTCAGATCAGTGTCAGTTGCAGGATGTCATTGCACGATCAGACAGAGCTTTGGCTGTGGTGAAAGACCTGTTTGGTGATGCACCCCGTCGTCGTACAGGTAGTCCATTCTTGTGCAGTAGAAGTTGATGTGCCATTATCTGATTAAACAAGTATTGTGTACATATACAAGGTCATACATTTTTGGTATAGGCTTCCCCACCATTACCGTGGCACCTGACTGTGAGTCTGACTCTGAGCTTCCTGTTCTTCGAAGACCTGATCCTCCAACCGAGCTGTCATTACTCAGCCAGTCTATGATGGATCAGCAGGTACTGCTTCTCGAGCACCGCCTACAGCTTTTACTCTGTAATAAAACTAGGGCTGTCACTATTCCTTGATTTAAAATTAGAGTACTTGATTTAAAAAAATCCAAGAAAAAATCTTTTCTAGGCCCTGAATGAGTTGGAGTGTGAAGAGGATCATGATGAAGTCCATGATTCCTCGGTGCACCTCAGTTCTATGATGCACAGGTGTGAAGGACCTCAATAAACAACTTCTAATGATGTTTTGACTGTCTTTAACATACTTTAAAAAAAAAATTTAAATGCTTGTTTTCAGGAAGAGAAATCAGTGTAGGTCAAAGTCCTTTCCATGGGGTTCAGACCACCCAGAGCAAGATCTACCCCAAACACCATGTATTACTGGAGTCAGAGAAGACCAGGCAGGTAATGAAGACATGATGTACTTTATATCATTTCAGGTTAGATGTGATGTTACCTTGATGTCAAGTTGAACTTTGTTGTTTTATTTTGAACACCTATGTTCCTTTTGCCCAGCCCTCAATGCCACAGTGGCAGTACAGCGTTTAAAAGCCAGACCGACTCATCCTGATATAAACCAGTCCAGCTCACTAGTCAACCAGGTTCTGAACCCAGAGCCTGTTTCCTCTCAACCAGGTAGGACAAAGTACACTGTTATCAGACACTATTTTTTAAATATATAAGATTATTTGAACGGTACTATACTACTGTTCAACTGTTTGGGGTTGTTTTTAAATAATTTTATTCAGAAAGGATGCATTAAATTGCTCAAAGTGACGGTAAAGACATTTGTTACTAAAGATTTCAAATATTTCTGAAAAATGTTTCACTGTTTGCATAATAATATTAAGCAGCACAACTGTTTTTAATATTGGTTATAATAAAAAAAATCTTGAGCATGAATTCGGTATATTATCAGCAAAATAGAAATATATAAAATAGTTTTGAATTTGTAATATTTAACAAAATTACTGAAAGAAACTTTAAAAAAAAAGTTTTTACTGACCACAAACTTTTGAATGGTTGTTTGTATATATATATATATATATATATATATATATATATATATATATATATATATATATATACTGTACACAGACACACACGTATTTTATATATATATATATATATATATATATATATACAATTCTACACTTAAACATTCTAGATTAAATGGCAATAATAACTGCATTTCATCCAGATGAACCTCGTTTTTTTTTTTTCAGGGAAGAGAAAGTCAGTTCAAGTCAATAGGGGGCGCTCAGGGCATACATCTGTCCTGAATGGTTCAGGGTTGAGCTCCCTGTCAGGAAACCAGTCCAGTATGGAGCTTCTGCAGAGTATGCTTGAGCAAGTGGAGACTGAGCTGGACTCTCTAGACCACCAGAGGCCCATGAGCTCGGAAGCCAGACCGCAGCAAGAGAGACAGGGCCTCACCGGCTTCTCTGTGGCTCTAGTCGCAACACTTGGACGTCTAGCCAGACATATCAGAAAAGTAAGGCCATACACAAATTAAATCCAAAAGTTGTTTTGAAATCATTCAGATTAGTCCCTTTTTCATTGACATCACTTGCACACAGAGAGAAGAGGAGGCTCTGAGAGAGGCAGAGGAGAGAAGGCAGCTAGAGGAAGAGGTGAAGGAGCAGAGGGCTCTGATTGACGCCCTGACTGTGGAGTCACTAACACTGAGGGAAGAGAGCGCCACCCTGCAGGTGAACCACTTTTCCTTAAGCAATATTATTCCGATATTTTTTTCCAGGTTTGTCCGTTCAGATGCCATTTTTGATGGTGCTTTTTGTTGCTTCCATACAGACGAGGCTGCAACAGCAGATATCTGAACTAGAGCAGCGTCTAGATGCTGTAGTACTGGTGGTGGGAAGACCAGATTCTGCAGAACCACACACAACAGTTCAAAGCACAGACAACACAGCTCAAAGTAACTATCACAAACTGTAGATCAACCTAGTATCAGGCACTGTTTTGAAGTATCTTACCATCAATTATTATTTGATCAGGATTGGTTATCTTGAGTATATCTGAACAGTGATTAAGAGAGGTGTGTTGTGTTCTATAGAAAGCAGCAATCTGGAGTCTGGCTGTACTGAAAAGGATCTACAGCAACAGGACTTTGTCTCTGCAGCTGTTCTGCTCTCTCCTCCTCGCCAAAGAGATGGTCTGCCTCCCGCTGGTCAGTCTGAAGTGCACAAACTTTACACCAACTAGTGTTTAGGTCTTAAAACTAACACAAACATCACTATTATTGTTGTTCATGCTAGTTTACAGTTCAAACTTAACATTGTGGAATCCCTACATAAATCCCTATAGACATTGAAAAGAGGTCCCATACATAAGAGTTTGAACAATTTCAACAGTACCCACCTAGCAACCATTCTGAATCCCCTAGCAACCCCCGTGAAAAATAGTGATGAATTTGCAAATACTAGGTTACATTTTCTTCAGAAAAAGAAATGACTTGGGCTGCCGGGGAACCACTCAATCACCTTAGCATGATGGTGGTGGGTTTACATGAGCAAAACAATTTTTTTTTATTTTATTTTTTTTTAAGAAAAGAAAAGTTACAGGTGTGCTTTCTATAACTTTATCAACAATGACATTTTTTTTTCATTGAGTTTTAAGGTTAAAAACATATGTATTTGTGTCTTAGGAAGTCACTCACTTTTGTTCTTTTTTTGAAAGTTTAAGTGACTCATGAATTTGAGTATGACTCCGCAGTATTTTTTCTCACTTCTTCCAGTGTGTCGTCCACATTCACACGCAACCTCGGTGCACTACAGTGGCTCCTATTCAGCAACAGGAAGCCAGGGTTCATTTGAGGACTTCGACATCTCCATCTCTCCTTCCTCCTTTGCCAGCCTACCACGGCCCACTCCTCTGCTGGACGATCTCTCACAGGACGCCATGCTAGGGGAGATCGCCGAACTGACCCGTCAGAACGCAGCGATCCGGGCCCAGTTAGGGCCGCACCGTCCGTCTCCTACTGGAGCTTCAGTATCGAGGGAGCACAGCGCAGACCGGCTGTCCTCAACAAACTCTGTAGTTAGACAAGTGTCGCCCTCTACTGAGCCACAGCACACACGGCAGGTTAGTTGCATATTGTGGAATTGGTGTATGATAGTAGTCTGTTTTTCATGTTAATTATCTCTCAATTTTGTTTCTCATAAATAATTGTGCCTTTACATCTCACAATTGTGACACAGCTGTTCAAAAGTTTGTGGTCAATAAGATTTTTAAAAATGTTTTTGAAAGAAGTCTATAATGCTCACCAAGGCTGCATTTAGTTGATCAAAAATACAGTAAAGACAGTAATATTGAAAAATAGTATTACAATTTAAAAGAATTTTAAATTTAGCCGTTTTCAGCATCATTAATCCAGTTTCAGTGTCACATGATCCTTTAGAAATTATTCTAACTTGCTGATTTAGTTCCAGAAAGTGCTTAAGATTTTAAACATTTGTGCTGCTTATTATTTTTGTGGAAACATGATACAATAATTCATCAAGGATTCTTTGAATTTAAAGTTTAAAAAACAGCATTTATTTGAAATTAAAATCTTTTTTAACATTACAAATGCCTTTTACAGGTGGACAGTAACAAAGTACATTTACTTGAGTACTGTACTTTAGTACACTTTTTAAGTATTATTTTGTCTGGAAACTTTTTACTTTAACTTCACTACATTTAAAAGACAAATATCGTACTTTTTACTTCTGTCAAGGTCCTTGAGTAGAAAGTAGTAACGTCCGTCAGGGGACGATTTTGGTTGCAGGGGTTGCATTTTGGTTGGAAATGAAAGTCGGGTTGACGTCAGAACCAGACTGATGTTGGTAAATTCTGACGTCAACTCGATTTTCATTTTCAACCAAAATACAACGGACGTTATTGAATGCACTTATTCAATCTCACTACTGGAACTGTGTTCTAGAAATAAATTTGATATTGATATGAGGGTAGGTAGGCAGTCATAGATTCAGAGGCATAAGGTACTGTAAGTATTACATACAACAATGCAACAATAATAAAACAATGCATTGACATTTACTTTTTACTTTTGGTGCATAAGTACTTTTAAAAACAAGTACTTCTGTACTTTTACCTAAGTAAAAATCTGTCTTTACAACTTTTACTAGTAATATTTGACCAGTAGTATCTGTGTTTTCACTCAAGGAAGGAAGTTGTGTACTTTGTCCACCTCTGCACTTTTGAATAATTGTATATATCTATGCTGAATAAAGTAGTTCATTTCTTTAAAAAAAAAAAATCTTCCTGACTCCAAACCTTTAAACCTTTTTCTCACATTTGCCAAGATTTCTCATTTTATCGTACCATTTTATCTCACAATTTACTTTTCATAATCGTGGAGAATGAGATATGAAGGCACATTTAAGAGCAATAGTCGCAATGTCACAATTGCATATTTATACTCTCTCTCTCTCTCTCTCTCTCTCTCTCTCTCTCTCTCTCTCTCTATATATATATATATATATATATATATATATATATATATATATATATATATATATATATATATATATATATATAACCTCATTCTAAAACATTGCTGAAGAACCACGTTGCTTGGAAGATTTAAACATTTTTTGTTGCTGTGTTTATTTTAGGAAATCTTGCCAGGCAGATATGATGTAGTAACCATTTTATAAAAGCAATACTTCTTGGGGCTTATTGCTTTATTCTAAACCTTCTCACAACTACCGGTACTCTTGAGGTGGATAGAGCTTCCATAGTACAGAGGTGGTTTGAAAATGGTCGTTTCTTACATTGACATCTTTTTTTGTTCAGTCTGTTTGTGTAGAGAGATCCTCAACAATAGAGATAGAACAAAAACTGCAGGAGTTGAACCGTCAAAGCGCCGAAGCAAGAGCTAGACTACTAGAGCTCATTGAACAACAGAAGCAGAGCACCTCCCTCAGAGTTTCCCCTGCCATTTCCCCAGTACCTCCTCACTCCAGCAGCACTCATACAGGTGTGTGTGTTTAAATGATGCTTACATCATCTCTCAACCTTCAAAATGAGATATATATGATGACTATTGATGTCTTACAGTTGTTAGGGGGTTTACTCCAGAGCAATTTGTAACACTTCCTGAGAGAAGCCATTCACCTCAACCCAGTGCAAGCAGTCGAAGGTGAGTTATGAAAACTAAAGTCAAGAGCAGATTTGCTTGTAAGATTTGATATATTCAACTTGGACTCGGAAAAGCGCCTTAACTGTCCCAGTATAATTACAAGGCATATTCCAAATTAGTTTGTTGCTTTTTACACCAAGCTAAGTGACATTTCTAATGCTCTTTTCTTAGGTCAGCGGGAAGAGTCTCACCACAAAGTTTAGATAGTGTGGAAATCCAGAGCATTGAGAACCAAGTATGAGATATCATGTTTAATGCGCTTATTACCATCTATATGTAGTTGTTTTCTATCAAGAACAAGTTATTAATTTTACGTATTCATGCTTGCAAACTTGTCTTTTATTTCTGACAGGTGGAAAAGCTTAAAAGAGAGGGGTGGTTTGCATTGTCATCTCATATCAAGTGACTTCACAAGGAATATCGTCTATGCATAATAGCATTCCAAATGTATTTGACATCCCTAGTTTGGTTTTAATTACATCCTGGCTGCACCCGTATAATGCTCATGTTAAGATTCTGTGATGCCTTGTGGGCCTGCCTATGCATAGGAACTTGCACAAGGTAACAGGTGTTTGTGTCATCAGATAGATAAATAAACACTAGATGACATCAGTCTTCTTTGCAGACAGTCTTGACTGACTGTTCAACTTTATTTAATCCATTGTTTTTATTTTTATTTTTAAAAGAAGTGCACAATGCCACAATAAATTTTAGATAATTAAATGCTTTGTGTTGGTTTTGTATTTCACATTTTTATAGGCATTATTTTTCTGATTTTGAGGACATTACAAAAAGCAAAGCGAAAGTAAAAAATGTAACAAAACCAATAGAAATCGACATTTCAGAATTTCATTGAATATTTAAGCAACTTTTAGTTTGTAACACTGGTATGGAAACAAAACTAAAGTCTTCTATACATTTTTCTTACCTGATTATTGATTGATTTTTCAGTAGCATAGCACCATATAAACCACTTAACAATGGGAACAGTTGATTTTATATGCAGTTAGAAATACCTTAATATGCTTTAAACAGTATGATTTTAGTTTACAATTTATATGCCATTTACCTATTCCTTTTTATACTGTATGTAATGGCGCTTTTCACTGCATAGTACGGTACGGCACGGTTCGGTACGGCACACTTTGGCGCTTTTCCACTGCATGGAACGGTACGGCTCGGCTCGGTACGGCTCACTTGTGGCGCTTTTCCACTGCATGGAACGGTACGGCTCGGCTCGGTACGGCTCACTTGTGGCGCTTTTCCACTGCATGGAACGGTACGGCTCGGCTCGGTACGGCTCACTTGTGGCGCTTTTCCACTGCATGGTACGGCACAGTACGGCTCGCTTTAAATGGTACCACCTCTGTCGAGGTTTCAAGCGTACCGTACCGATACTAAAATGTGACGTGAACACACTGCAGATCACTGATTAGTCAGACAGAATCGTCACTACCAGCATCATTGTATTTGCGAGACCTCAAACCCGCTAGATTTAAATAGCCAGTAACAACAGCCACCGCTGTTCTTCACAAAGAACCGGCAAAAGTAATGATTATGAATATGTAAAATATAGCAAGGAGATATTTTAATTGTTTATTAATAAACAAGTGTTTTCTTTGTCGGCTAAGATGAAGTTGACGATGCTGACTCGCGATCTTCAGTAGCCTAGTGAACGCGCCAGAGAGAAATGCACATTTCATAAGGATTGCATAAGCAGAGAGCAGTCTGTAGTCTGTTTTCTTTTGTTTTGAATTGTTCTGTTTAAAAGTAGACATGTGAGGCAAGTAGGCTACCTTATATGCTGAGTTTCACACGCCGGCGCCTCCGTTTCCTATCTATCGTCTTCGTCTGCTATATTTACTACTTCTTATTTATTAAATCCAGGTAATTGGTTGATGAAACATTCATTAAAATTAAGATACAATTAATACAAAAAGAAATTCAGGTTAAAGAAAGGTTTTGTGCTTTCTGTTGGATGTCTAAGTGACAGTTTTAAAGCATCTTTTAGTGCCGCTTTCAGAGCGCTCACGTCCGTAACAGAGAACACGTCCGTAACATTGTTTTTTCCTCATAAATGCGAACACGAAAAATAAAATATGAATATTTTATGTACTGTGGAGACTGAGAGCCAACCCTTCTTCATCCGGTGGGTAGTATTACTTTGGTTTGCGCAGTGTAATTCACATAATCACTAAAAAATATGTTTTGCCTCCAAGTTTTTTTGTTTTTTTTTAGCAATCAGAAATCCAAGGGCACTGCTATAATCCCACCCACTTTGAAGCGGTAGGCTACTAACTGCAGTGGAAAAGCAAACCAAGCTAAAGCGAATCGAGCCGTGCCGTGCTGAGCCGAGTCGTACCACACAGTGGAAAAGCGAAGCGAGCCGAACCGTACTGAGCCGTACCAGCAGTGGAAAAGCGAAGATTGAAAGTGTTTTTCACAGTTTTTAATCACCTTTTGTTTCTGCACTTAAACAGCTAAAAATACATTTCTAAAAGTAGGCTACAAATATTCCATGTAATCTTTAATACAAGGTCATAAAATGAATCTATAAATGTTGAGAAATATTCTTTCAAATACTTTTAATGAAGTTCAGCATGTCAAACATGTCAGCTACCCGTATTTTTAGTCTACATCACAGTCCCTATGTGGGACAGCCCACAGCCTTCCACTCCTATATATGAATTTGACCTCGCACTCTAAACCGACGGTCTTGACTTTAAAGCAGCAGCCTTCATCTCTGAGCTGAGCAGAGTGTCTCTGAGCCAGCGCCTGTAGCTCATCCCAGCTGACACTTTCTCCCTCTCTGACCCACACTTTCCCAGCAACCTCGACCAGAACATTGCCACCGCACCACTGCATGTCGCGCAGCCCCTCTGCCTTGAGCAGATACATGCATGCGCAGCGTGGCGCGCACACCTTAAAACGTCCCCTCTCCTCTTCATAGCAAAGGCAATGCAGTCGTACCAGGAAGGAAGTGGGTTCTGATGTGATAAAACGCAAGATCTCCTCCACCCCATTATCGATGGCGACAGGCCCGTGAACCCTGTTCACAGAAAACAGCTTTGCGGGGCCGATTATCCTTACCGATTCCAGAATGAACTGGAAGTTGTGTTGCTCTCCGAGTTGTAAGTAGCTCTGCAATTCGGATAGGGTCTCCTGGTGCAGCTGCATGAGAGAGCCCAGGCCCAGCTGCGCAGGATTAAACTCCAACACAGAAAGCAAGCGATGTCGGACTCCAGCGTCAAAGGCTTCGGAGTTAAAAGCAGGATTTGACAAGACAGACCGCACGTGTTGAGTGACTGTAGCAATGGAGGCGTTTGAAAAGTCAATGGTGGTTCGTGTGGGCTGCACCACTTCTAGGAGACGTGCGATACGAACACAAGCCTCCACATACTGTCTAGCTAGAGGGGTTGCATCCTGGTCTGAGATGGATGGTACCATGCTGCTAAGAGCTTTACGGATGACCCGTGCAGAGACGCCCTGGAAGGAAGTGACCCGGTGAAGCCTGCTGGGCCTGCAGGAAAACAGCCCCTCGACTGACGAGGACAGCTGGAGGCCTTCCTGGAGGGGATGCAGGTCTCGGAGCACCTGAGCGAGGACTCTTACGCTTTGCAGCAGACTCTCAGCGTCTCCTTCAGTCCAGCACTGCTCCACTTCCTGCAGCAAAGCAGCCTCCACTCTGCCGCTGGCGCTCAGCTGCTCGATCATGCCTAGTATGCCTCCGCTAGGTTTCGCCTCGGGCTCCTCCAGAACCTCTGCCATGCAGTCCCACACCAGAAAACTGAACATGGCCCACACCGTGCGCTGATCCGTGCAGTCACCAGGACACAAATGGTCCCAGCTGCGTAAGTGGTCCTGGTCGTGCAGGTGGTCCCAGCTGTGCAGGTGACTGTGGATCCCACTGCGGAGGAGAGTCTCAGCCTTTTGCAGCAACCTCAACAGCAGACACCCCCTCTCAGAGAGCTGGACCCCTACAGATGACATTCATGTTGGTTTCATGCAGTTATGAAGAACTTTTAAGCCATTTTTAATTAAAGATTAAATGTATTGTCATGGTGTAACTATCAAATAAAAAGAACTTACACCTTCAATACATGTACATGTTAATCATTTTCAAAAAAAATAATTAAATACATTTCTCAAGGTTATAAATATTTGTGTCATTTTATTCTTCTATTAAAAAAATAAAAGATTATGCAAACCTACTTAAGGTTTCTTCTCAAGAATGTTTAATGAGACTTCATTAAATCAGGACAGTTGTATCACCCTGAAATTTGTGACTATACCCTCAAAAAATATATTTTTATTCATTTATTAGAAATTAATCATAAGAGGCATATTCAAATCGTATGTATTGCATATAAATGATCCAGACAAAAGAAAATTGTGTCATGTCATTGACCTATAATCACTAGACCTTTCTAAAGATAAAATCTTTTTTTAATTCAGAGAAAGACTTGTCTGTTGGAAACAGTCAAGGAAGAAGAAATAAAACTTTGTATCTGGTTTGGTAAAAGATGCACTCTACGTAAATTCTGTCATCATTGTCTCATCCTCATGTGGTTCCAAACCTGTGTGACTTACTTTCTTCTGTGGAACACAAAAGAACATAATTTTGAAGAATGTTGGTAACCAAACAGTTTTGGTGACCATTGACTTCCCTTGTATAAACAAATTTCTCAAAATATCCTGTTATAATCCACAGAAGAAAGAAAGTCATACAGGTTTGGAACGACATGAGGGTGAATAAATGATAGAATTTTAATTTTAGGTGAATTATGCCTTTAAAAAAAAGATAAACACCAAAAAATGATGGATCAAACAGAATCTGAGTTCGAGCCCAAGATGGATCTCTCTGGATTGGATTGGCCATGACTTACACTGAGGGCTGAGTTCCGCCACTCTGCTCAGTAATCTGCCCGCGTCCTGCGTCTTCTCCATGTACAGGGACACTAGAGCCTCCAGCTGGGCTGAGTCTTCTATTGCGACGCCTTCGAGAAGGTATTCTCTGACTGTCCGACGCGGCAAACCCACCGCCACACCAACCTCACAGACATTAAACCTAATCTCATCCCCCACAGTCAAGCCCAGCTGAGCCATGACCTGCTGCAGGCCTCCTGATGGAAACAAGACCAGACATGGACAACATCAGTTCGGCAAACGTTACATTCATTTTGGAGCCCCAAATTGAATTTTCATTCATTTTCAAGCCCCTTCCCCTTTAATCGCTAATCGGTAGTATGCTATGCCCCCCGTAATGCGATTTCAACCGAGTAGGACCACCCCCCCAAAACTTCTCCCCCCCACCCCGGAATGCGATTGGGGGGACCTCCGCCCAATTCACCCCCCAGCAGAGGTCTGTGTACGCCACTGATTTTGGAAACCAAACCACATTTTGGTTACCTTTGAGCAAATTTACAAACCATATTCAGTATATTTTGTACCACAAGTCAGTCTCTCTCATATTTTTCAATAAAATGAGTAATGTTGAAATATGAATCACCTGACAGAGGTAAAGCTGCCCTCAGGTGACCTCTGGTTTCCTCCACTGCTATCTGCACACTGTGGCCTTCAGACTCTTTATTAAGGTCTTCCACCAAACTATTCACTGAAAATGCCAAATTTGAAAGAAAAATTTAAACCAGGTGACTGATTTTCCTAGCTGAAATAACATTAAGAGTTCTAACAGATGCTTATTACTTTTTCTGTGGCATAATAATAATTATTATATAATATTGCATGCATTTAGATCTCCATTTAGATAACAGTTCTAATGACCATTAAGTTCCTCGGCTAGCTGTTTGTCCTCATTCTGTAGCGCTGTGTAAAAGCTCTTGCATGCTTTTTCTCCTTTCTTCAGGCAGATGGACAGCAGGGTTTTTGCTTGCTTGGTTGGAATAAGTATGGCTTCGATATTCTCCATCTCCAGCTGAGTCAGAATGCCTTTGGAGAAGAGATCGTAGGAGACCGGAAGAACAGAACAGCCCAAGCGTGAGCTCAGAACACTAAACAGAGCCTGTAGATGACGTTCTGCGTGGAGACATGACAATGGTGAGGGCTGGGAGACATTAACATGAACATTTAGTAAAAGTGAAAATGCTGAGAATATGTAATGTCCTACCTGTTGGACTTTGCTGAACAACTGTTGTTTGGTCCTGATCTAATATGAGAGCACAAAACGTTTCAGTATTTACATCATGCTACTGCATTTGTGCTTTAAGACAGAGTGCAACTTTATGAATGATATATAGCATACCTTCTTCTGTCAACCAGGTTCGTAGACGCGGGTAATGTCTCTTGCATTTCCTCAGACACTCCATGAATCTAGAGGCACCGTTTTCGTCCATCTGAGCGTCAACAATCTCTAGAAGTTTTCGGGCTTTGTTGGGCGGTGTTCGCTCAGCTTCAATTTCATAACAGTTTTCTCTAGAGAGCAGCCCTACAGATATAACACAGTCTAACAGAGGACCCAGGTGATACAGGGCATCCACCAGAAGCATCTGTGAAGACAGGAGCCGGGCCTTCACAGCTGGCTTCTCCTCTGGTCCTGTAGGGAGAGCAGGGTAAGATGAGCCATATTTTACCCTTAGATTTCAGAATGGTTCCTATCAATTAAAATGATAAGACAGACGTATAACTTAAAAGGTTCTCCAGGACCAGTATATCTATATAAATACCTATAGATATACTGGTCCTGTATATATATATATATATATATATATATATATATATATATGAAACAACTTTATATAAAACATTATGAATAATAATTTTATAATCACTCTCCCAAAATAATTAGATAAGATACGGACGGACGGACGGACATAGTTAGTTAGATAGACAGACAGACAGACAGATAGACAGATAGATAGATAGATAGATTTTAACAGTATCAACATGATAGACAGACAGACAGATAGATAGATAGATAGATAGATAGATAGATAGATAGATAGATATTAACAGTATCAACATGATAGATAGATTTTAACAGTATCAACATGATAGATAGATAGATAGATAGATAGATAGATAGATAGATAGATAGATAGATAGATAGATAGATAGATAGATAGATAGATAGATAGATAGATAGATAGATAGATAGATAGATAGAAATATTTTAACTGTATGAAACTTACCCGAACTGTGGGGTCTCTCAGGTGAGGAAGACATCACAATATTTTATGGGCATAATTAAAAATCATCTTCAAACTAACAACAAGAAGTTCATTCAAATTTTCACTTTCATATTCCACGCGATTTATCCACGTCAGTTCAGATAGAATCCTGAAACGATGACGATGAGAAGCGACGATGACAAACACACTCGCTCTCTATGTTATTTATTTATTTATTTTAAATATAGTTTATACTATAGCCTAGTTTGATCAATGCATCGGCTAAACGCCAACGTTTTTCATGAAGTGCCTCGAAGAGTTCCTCAGTGTACCACTTCCTGGAAGTGGTGAGCAATGACAGCTTCAAGTCTGACAGGTCAGTCAACAAAGTACATTCATAATCAGTTTAAATCTCAGCTCCCACGTTCATTAAAGATTCATTTTGAAAATTAATTCTTAATGTACGTGGGGTTTTTGAGTGGAGAGTCTGGTATTGAGATTAAATGATACAGTTATGCGGACTGAAACTTTGATTATTTAATTATACGTGTCCACTTTAACTTTCATTTAACTTTAGTCTTCATATTTGATCTTCATAGCTGTTATTGCCTAGGAATAAAATACAGTTCACTAAGAACACATTGATTCTTGCGGGACCGGGGCATTGTCACACTATATGGTGTAAGTTACAAGGAATAAGATAGCCTAGGCCTATGTAAACTGTAAACTGACTAAAGAACAACAAAATTACTAAAACGTAAACTGAAAATAAAATAAAAAGCAAATTTAAAGTATTAATACGTTTTATAATAATATATAAATAATATATTTTTTTTAATAAAAAAAAAAACACTTTCTCGATTGGTTACTGAAGCTAAGCAGTGCTAACATGCTGAGAGACATGCATCTACCGGTGAAGAAGACTGCAGGAACAGGCGAGGCCAGCAGGGGGCGCTTCCATGTGGGCATTTGGTTCCTAATGCCCCAGTCCCAGTGTTATGATATGATGTCGACACAACTTTTTTCGTGTGGAAAAAAAAGGCTCCGTCCATGGGATGTGACATTAAACAGGCGGTGATTGAGAGGATTTCTTTACTCTCTTTTAATCACTTTGAATGGAAATGTCAGGTAATGGTTACAGAATTTTGATTGTATGTATGTTGTGCTTTAGGAACGGATCCATTTCCGCGTCCAGCTTAATCTCAATATCCCACAGCTTCCACTGCGCCTTATACCAGGGGGGCACTTCACTGATCACTACCCTATGTAATATGTCAAAGTGTTTTTTAGAAGGGAGCTAGGGGGTATCTGAGGGATATGAGGAGGAGTAAATATTGAACAAAGTAACTGTGCTCTCATAAAGTGTTTGGGAATAGCAGTGCAAAATGCCAGGTTAGGGGTCGTCACGGAAACCCTTCATACACAGGGTGGGGCCCATTGTGGCAAGAACGGTCGAGTGGAAGAGAGGCTGAATGGAGGATTAATCCCACACCAGTGCATCTCAATGCTCCGTTCCCACCAAGAGCCAAGAGCTCATTCCCATGTGCTGGTCTTTATTTTATCCATTCAGGAGTCAATAGGTCTGCTTCACCCCCAACCTCCACTCACACATACACTCATGAACACTGAAAAAACATTGCAGTCCATATAAATGAACATATGCACACATAAGTGTGTTTACAATTCATTATAATAACCGATCAATTATTATTAACAATATTAAATCGTTTTTATTAATCCTAAAAACAAGTGAGCTCCTAATGAAATGGTAAAGTCAACACATTTTAGTCTTTATAATTTCTCACTCTTGAAAACGCATGAATTCCTAAACTTGTGCCCTCAGTAACACCCTTCACCTCCCATTTCAAAACACTCAAAACCATGCAGGGTTAAATACACATTCATTCATGTTCACATACCCACGTATTCATTGGCACACTTGTTTAAAACAATGAGGAGCTCTTATAATGAGTAGGGGGGGATGGGGCTGACTGGTTCTTCTTTAACACATTTAAATCTACACCCACTTCACCTTCATGAAGACCCACAACACCCTCTCACTTCCCAATGAAGCACATTCACTCACATTTTCTCTTTCATCAGCAGCACTTGACGCAATATCCTCTGTGGCAAGAGTGACACACAGGAAACTCTGATGGAAGGTTTGGTCACTCATATGAGCTTGGAGGAGCAGAGGTCTTTGACATTTGCCTGATTTGTCAACATTAGCATATTTCATGGTAATGCTAATGTGTACAACTAAACATTACACATTTAAACAGACTTGGCTATAATGTATAGTTTGTGATAATTAATAGAGAGATTTGATTTGATTTGATCTCTTCGACTCTCACTTCCCTCTGTCTTTCTGGCAATGGTCTTATTCCCATCATGATGGGGACAGGCTGAATATTAAGAGTTAATGTCAGTCGCCAGAAGAGGGCGGTAGAAACTGTTGTGCTTTTGGACAATCACCGTTGTGCATGTGATTTATAAGGGGAATTTTGCTCAGTTTTTTCATGCTCTCACCTTGAGGAGTTTGTTTTATAAGTTCACTTACTATCTTTATCGTTTGTATTTGTGTAGTTGGTATGATAAGCTTTCCTTTATCTCAAACACTAGAGAATGGCGCTAGCAACGTCAAAGTCATGAGTTTGCATTTAATTCCAGTCTTCAGTTCCCAATGTAAATAATACTTTTGAAAAGTTGTATATTTACAATTTTAAACATCATTTTGCTAACTGTTTTATACACTACTGTTCAAAAGTTTGTAATCATTAAGATTTTAAATGTTATTGATAGATGTTTCTTATGTTTAGCAAGGCTGCGTTTACATGATAAAACCACAGAAAAAAATAGTAATATTGTGAAGTATTATTACAATTTAAAATAACATTTTTCTATTTTAATATATTTTAAAATGTAATTTATTCCTGTGATGGCAAAGCTGAATTTTCAGCATCATTACTTCAGTCAGCATTTCAGCATCATATCTTCAGTCATATGATCCTTCAGAAATAATCCTAATATTGGAAATGTAAATCTTTTAATACTATGAATGTCTTTACTGTCACTTTTGAGAAATTGAATGCACCCTTGCTGAAAAAAATAATCTTTAAAAAAATTACTTACCCCAAACTTTTGAATAGTAGTGTTTCACAGTTCTGATCAAATTCAAATTAAAGGATTAGTTCACTTTAAAAAAAACTTTTGCTGATAATTTACTCACCCCCATGTCATCCAAGATGTCCATGTCTTTCTTTCTTCAGTCGAAAAGAAATTAAGGTTTTTGATGAAAACATTCCAGGATTTTTCTCCATAGTGCACTTTGCTGGACACCAAACGGTTCAAGGTCCAAAAGACAGTTTCAGTGCAAACTGCAAACTGTTCAAATGGCTTTAAACGATTCCAGACGATGAATAATGGTCTTATCAAGCGAAACGATCGGTCATTTAAAAAATAAATAACAAAGTTTAAGTTTAATAATGTCAAATGCTCGCCTTGCTCTGTTCTGTGATGCACGTTCGTGACTCTCCTGTTCGAACTCGTTCATCAAAATGAACAAATCTTTTTTCGAGTCATTTGGTTCATGTAAAGCACGAAATGAATGAATTGACTAGGAAAAAGATTCGTTCATTTTGATGAACGAGTTCGAACAGGAGAGTCACACAGAACAGAGCAAGGCGAGCATTTGAGCTTATAAAACTTAAACTTTGTTATTTCTTTTTTAAATGAGCGATCGTTTCGCTTGATAAGACCCTTATTCATCGTCTGGTGTCATTTAAAACCATTTGAACAGTTTGCAGTTTGCACTGAAACTGGACCTTGAACCGTTTGGTGCCCAGCAAAGTGCATTATATGGAGAAATTTCCTGGAATGTTTTCATCAAAAACCTTAATTTCTTTTCGACTGAAGAAAGAAAGACATGGACATCTTGGATGACATTGGGGTGAGTAAATTATCAGCAAAAGTTTTTTTAAAAGTGAACTAATCCTTTAAGTATATCTTTCCCTCTGAAAATAGTTCTTGATGTTACAGAACTTTTGGTCAACAACAGGTGTTTCAAGTCATAGTTTTGTTGCTATATTTTTGGGGTTTATCAGTAGTACTGATTTTGATTTTGATATTATATTTAAAATCATGTTTATTTATAATTGTACTTTTTGCTCTTGTTTGTTACATGTGAAGTTTTGTGTAGATGCTCTTTAAGGTTCTGTCCTGAAGGTGTTTGTATACACCATCAAAAGATACTCTGTATTGACCAATCAGAAGCCACAAAGTGAACTGTGGTCTTGTATAAAGTTTGTATGTAATGATTTCTTAATATTAATAAGTCTTGTAAACCATCTTAATGCATGAACAAACAAATTGTTTTCAGTAGTGCAGCTTGTGTGTTATAGATATCATAAACCAAACAGAGACGCTTGAATTGTGTAATGTTTGTACCCAGAAGCATATGTCGTAGTTTACTCCCACATATCTGATTGTGTGTGAGAGGAGTGCATGAATTTGCGTGTGTCCAGGCAAGTGTCCGCCGCAGCTGTGCGGAGCTGTGATCTGAGGCCGGCTTTTGCTTGCTGTGAAAATATTATTGCAAGTGTTTATTATTACAGCACTGAGAGACAGTGGGAGTGTTGTGTGCCGTGCGGGCCAGCGAAAAGGGGGTGTAGACCAGGAGTGTGTGAGAGGAAGGAGGGTTTTTTATGCTCATTCCTTCTGTTCCCACCGACCGGCCCCCAGCGAGGCACGGTGCATTGTGGGTAGTGGGGAGGCCTATTGGAGTTGATTAGTTCCGGCTGAGTCTCAGATAGAGTTCTGACAGGCCGGAGAAACGGGCTCACAGCGTGAACGGCCCCCTCCTCACACACACCCTTGCCCTCTCCAGCAGACAATAGAAGCAGCATGACAAGAGCTTTTTAAAACACTCCATACACTCCACTCTTCTGTCTGTCACACAAATGTGGACACACACACACCCTATAACTATATCATATTATGCACAACACAGCTAGCTTGACAAGAGCTTTGTAAAGTCTTCTGATTGTGAGCATCACTATTACAATTAAACATACTGATGGGGGATTTTAACAAATGCATAACTCTAAGTATTCAACTTTAGCATTTAACTTGTCATGCAACTTAACCTGCATT